AGAGAGAGAGAGAGAGAGAGAGAGAGAGAGAGAGAGAGAGAGAGAGAGAGCAGAAATGCACTGATATTACACCAAAGAAGAACCGAAGCACCAAACTAAAATGTCAATGAAAGCACTCTTCCGCCGACACGAACAATGCATTCGAAGCTCTTCCTCCTACATGGCGCTCAGCGCCCAGACTACCATTCCACAGATATCCTGCTGGCCTACGGGTTGACAAACAACCAGTTAGACGTCAGCAGCAGCAACCGAAGTACATGTGGATGTCGACTATGAAGACCTCTGCCAGGACCAGGTACGTGCTGTTACATCACTTCCTCTCTCACCCTCGACTTTTCCCCCACGTCCTACCTCTTTCCAAGGACCACCACCAGGCCCCCGCCAGCTTCCTTTACCCAAGCCCGACTGTGGTGGCCTGGGCTGTGGCGCTGCTCATATGCAGCGCCCTGGCACCTCACGCCCGTGCGCGCGACCAGCCACTAGCGCAATTGCCAGTGGCCTCGGCGCTCGTAGTAGCAGGGGTGCCGGATCACTAGCCAAGTGCCTCCCAATCTTTCCTAAATGCTCGCCCGCTTTGCTACTGGCCTGGGCCGCGCCTCCCAATCTCATCCAGCGGGCTCGCGCGCTTTGCTACTGGCCTGGGCCGCGCGTGTGCCCTCTTGCTTCGAGTTCCTCCAAAGTGTCTGAGCCCAGGCCCCTTTAAGACAGTGGCCTGGGACCGAATTGGTTAGGCGTGCCCGACCACCCAGGCGCAAACGTGCGGTGGCGCGTGGGAACTGTTTGGCGCCCAGGAAAGCTTTGCATATTTGACGAATTCAGGCCCCTTATTGAGGTTCTGGGCCCTGCCTTAACTTAGGGCGGGCACATGCTTGCTGTAAGGGCCCCTGAAGGGCGTGCCTCGAGGACCTTAATCCTTGCTCTCCCCCCTCCTTTACTTCGATAGTCCTCTGAGATGTCTTCAATCTGCAGGTACATGCTTCCCTTTCAATCTTCTCTCATATCCTGAGATTACCTGCGGAGCAGTCTCTTCATTAGTTCTTCTCTTGTGAACCACCGGTCTTCCTTACGATCAATATGATGCTTGAACCGCACTCTGTATTGCATCTGCGGTTTCGGAGGTCGCATCGGTTTCGCAGGTCGTCCCCTGCCTGCTGGCTTGGGCACAGGCATCAGCTTCTTGTGCTCTACTATATCGTCAATGTCCATGTGTCCGTTTATGGTTGGCAGGCGGGCACATGCTTGCTGTCAAGGGCCCCTCAAGGGCATGCTGTGTACATAAATCCTCGCACTGGTCTGTGTTTCAACAGTTCATGGGTGTATTTACTGAGCTAGGCCCGTGGGTCACTTGACAAAATATAGCAGAGAGAAGAAAAAAAATGTGTATTTGACGAAGTAGTATGTACTTTGAACTCAGTACTGTACTTTGAACTCAGTACAGAAATACGTATCTGTGCGTCCTTTACAGAATAGCATGTACCTGACAAAAAGTTAGAAAACATGTATTGGACACAATACTAAATATTAGGAAGCAAGACACCATGTTTTACGAAATAGCATGTAGTTGACAAAATAGTAAAATACCCTTGTAATTCATGTACGCTGTTATACAAATTTTGGGCTTGCTGAAGTTGTAGTTCCAACACTGGGAAAAAAGAGAATCCAACATGGAAGGAAGGATCATGTATTTAAGGGAATTTTAAGCTCTGCAGGAGTTTTTCCATTTCGGTGTTTTGACTTCCAGGTACACTAGAGAGGATACCGCGCCTGGAGCTGCGAAGCCGAGTCCACAGGGCGACAACACAGCACTGCAAGACCTGGTACACCAAATTTCCCTCCTCCCTTCTCCCTTCTCCCTTCTCCCTTCTGCATAATAACCCCTGACAACCGTTCCTCTCCCACTCCCACCCCCACCCTCGCCATTTCCTCACGCCTCCCCTCTCCCCTACCCCGCAACAACAAGAAAGGACCTTTAAGTTTAAGGGCCGCACTGGGCCTACTCGCCGTAGTATTCAGAGGTGGAATGGAATTCCGTGGGACTCCGTCTCCCTGAAACTCGTTGTGTGACTCTGACCGGAAACTTGCGCAAAGTACTTAACAGTTGAAACAAAGATGAATCTGAGTGTGATTAAAGCCAGCTTCTGTCGTTCCATTGGTGCGGTCATGAGCTGACCTATGGTCCGTTGATCTGTGGTCACCATTAGGCGTTTTTTTCAGTGCTGGTCCCGCGGACGGACTGGGGGCCCCTCCCCCGACCGGCAGCCGGCTGGTTGGACTGCTTCGTCTGCCAGCCTGGCAGGCCCCCGGTCCCACCCAGCGCATCGCGCCGCGGGGGGGGGGGGGGGGGGAGGGGGTGTACCGGGAGTCATGGCCATACAAACGAGTGCCCGGACCCAGGGGGCCCACTGCCTCCCTTGAAAGGAAAAAAATGGGGCCTTTTCGACCCCACTTGGCACTCGTTGAAAAAAATGGGCGGAGGATCTCCGCCGCTGATTTTTGCAGATCAGCAGCAGAGAACCATTGCTTTTTTTTTTTTACCATGAGGAGTTCAATAGGCCGCTGTTCCTTATTTTAGCAATGTGTGGTTCAACGGACCACGGACCAGACATTTTTAAATGGTCCTTACACTCGTCCACTGTGAGCCAGCATGATGTTTCAGCAGC